TGGTTACAAAAGTCATTGCTGACATAACCGACCTTTAGTCTCATATTTCTACTATTGCTCTTGATAAGAATTGGTGTAGGATGATTGAAAGGAGGAAGAGCAAAACGTGATGCAATTATGGACCAATGAGCATCATATTTAAGGCTTATATCAAGGGCAAGCATTGGATCAGCAACTAGTGTGCTCACATGGACAGAATTGGTGAAATGCAAGGCTATGTTCTTGTCATAGATTTGGTGAGTTGATATTCCAGACTCAAGTTTTGGAGCTCTTATCCACATTTTGTCTGCAATATCTTGTTTCCATAGGCCCCTTGAAGATGACCCCATAGCAAGCTTATCATCAATAGCGCAAATAGGAATTCTGAGAATTGATGTCACGTTTTTAGTCCAATCTAAAATTTCTATTGCATCATTGAGAAAACTCAGCTCCTCAAAGTCTTTATTATCATCCTTGCTAGCACCGACATAGTATGTTGTATTAGTGGAACTGGGAGAAGCACTTCCGTATATTTTCATCTCAATGGAAGGTGATTCCTGCACCAGGATCCCTATCCAATAACTCAAGCAAAGCTTTCTGCAATTCAAGATTTGAACTTGTTTTCTTCAAAGCATGTTTAGCAGCAACAAAATTTTCATTAAGCTTCATGGGTTGATCGATCGAGCCCTCAAAATTTCCAACAAATGAGTAAGTATGAGACATCGAAATTGCTTTTGCTTTCTTTGATTGATAATGGTCCATCCTCCATCTGATATCATAATAAGTGACCGTTCTCCTTCTTAACTCTTCTGGAAACTGCATTTGATTTTGAAGAAGTCTTTGTTTCAGATTCAGATCCTCCTACATTTTTGTTCTATCCATGTAGAGGTAAGACTTTGGACTTTGGTATTGATTTAACATGTGGATGCATACCCCTTTAGACTCACATTTGCTGAATTTTTCAGCACCACGACTGAGAAGTTTGTCACCACTGCTATGATTTATGCAATGCTGAAACTCTAACATTTTCTCAAACATTTTATGCCCTCTGCAATGAAGTATCATAACACCATTGTTGGGGCCACTCTTTACAGTTGTAGCACAACATTTAAGTGGTGGCTCAGTGCTTTCTAGCTCAGTTTTGGGCATAAAGCAAGCTTCTTCAAGTGTATAGACAGGGTAAATGTTCTTACCGTAAACATCATTCATTATAGTAGCCTTTATATCATTTTTCGTTGCTTGTTTCTGCTCGGCTTCTGTTTCTACATGATCTTGACCATCAAAGAGGTTGGATGATTCAATGATGAATGACCCAACTTCTTTTGCTTGCATTTTGTCAAACACCTGAGATAGATTACCACAACCCTTCTGCTTTTGTTTTTACTCACTCTTTGTACTAGCCAGAATCTGGAAGATCTACTCCACCGATCTCTGGGTTGTGTCCATTTTCGATTCCAACTTACTCAACCTACTTTCCTGATTCTGCCACCATTTAGGAGGGTTCTTTCCCTTTGTAGTTTGCTTCACTAGATTAGCTAAGGTTTCGATCTGCTGCTGAATTGAAGAAATATTAAGAGTTTTAACCATGGTTTGGTATTTTTCTGGGATATAGCAGTGAACAAGTTGCCAGGAAGAGTGACTCTGGATACCAATTTGTTATGACCCAAGGGAATCGGAGAAGGATGAGAATCGAAGAAATAGAAATATAGATTAAGAAAAAAAGATTTAGAGAAGAAAGAGAGCTTGAAGAAGAGAACAATTTCATTCAATTTTCAGATGATTTCCTCTTGGTTCAGTAGACGTTTTATTTATTAACATTGTACCAATTCTAACCAATTTACCAGCTGGCAGTACATCTTTCTAACATAATTCTTTCCCTATAGGTGTTGCTGCATGATTCCTTCCCCTAATTTGGTTAGACTTCTAAGCTGCTCATTTGGTCCGTCAGGTAAGTGATTAAGCCCTTCTAATTTTGTATTCCCAATTACCCTAACCATACTTTCAATTCCCCCAATTCTCCCCCGCCTTCTCCGATTGTTTCTATATCTCTGTTACTCATGACAAAATTTCAAATTCTGCCTTTAATCTCTTACCTTTTTTTGAAATAAAATGAAATTTGCATTAACCATAAAAAGCATCAGTCATTACAATTGAACGAACAAACGCAGGGCATTCATAATCAAAATAAAGTAACGAGTTGGAATTAGACGCCCATGTTGCCAATTTATGAGCAACCAAGTTTGCAGGACGCCGGACATGAGTGACCCTTAAATTTGAATGAGCTTGAAGAAGGCGGAGCGGCTTCTCAAGGTGAAAATGAACCATGGAAAGTTCCAGAGTTCGACGTAGAAGCTACCGTATCAGATTTGCAGCATCGCTTTCTATGACAATATGTGTTCCACCTAAATCGAGTCACAGTTGAAGACAGATAGATATCGCATACGCTTCAGCAATACATGCCTCGCCCAACACTGCCAGAGAGAGGGCCTTACCAGTGATCACCATTCCTGTTTCATCTCGAGCAAGAATCGCAACAGCAAGAACCCCCATGGAAGACACAACACCATCAACATTTTTTTTATGGTTGAGAGATGTGGTTTTCGCCATTTAGCTGGTCGTAAATGTGATGCAAACGGGTCCGGAGTAGGATGAAACTGAGCATATGCCGCTTGAAGAGACCGAGCTTCCAAGATCAAATGCCACCCTGGAGTCATCTTGCCCTCATGAACCAACAAATTACGTCGAGTCCACAACATGTATGCAATCTCCAACATATCAACAAACTGAGACTGAGGAAGAATATGCATCAAATAAATCAACCAATTTTGACAGGATGTGTGATCAGTGCGAATATAACCTGCTGTAAATCCTATATTAGAAAAAATAACAGTCGCATCAACATAATCTCGAACAACATGTAAAGTAGTTTCAAGATCAACTCCACAAATAGGACACTTCCCATCACCCAAACCTGCTTGCAACAATCGCGAACTTGTTGGTAGGCTGTCCGTGGCTAATCGCCAACCAAAAACACGCACTTTCGGGAATGTAGGTAATCGGGAAAGAAATAACGATAGAGGGGATGGTGGATCGAATACTTGTTGTGGTCGTTGCAGCCAAGCATTTCCCGATCGCACTAAATAATAACCGGAGGAATGATATCCCCAAACCAATATATCTTGATGAATTGGCGCAATCAGACACCAAAGTATGGATTCGGAATCCTGAGATGAGAATAGTTGCCGCACTAGCTGCTCATTCCATGTTGCTTCACCCGTGTTCATGAATTCGCCACATCGGACAGGTTCCTTAGCATTATCATGATGCACTGTGCCAAACTGAATAGGTTTAGTGGCGCCCCAAGATTCAAAAAACATTCAAATATTACTATCAATACCTGGTTGCCAGAAATAACCGGATCGAAATGTTGAAATTGCAACATGAAGACTACGTCAAGCGTAAGAAGGTCAGTTTCCAAGTGAGGCAGTCCACACATTTCCAATCCGGTAGTATTTGCTTGCAGGGACACGACTCATCAGACTCTAAGGTTGTTTTAACAAACGCCAAACTTGTTTCCCCAGAAGAGCCATGTTAAACGCATGAAGGTCACGATTTCGGTTTACAAACAGACGACCAAGCTAGTAATGGTCATTCATGATCTTCAGTTCTTCTTGTCCACCAATAATCCCGAAGTAGTCCATTGAGTTCCGAATAACACAATTTGGAAGTAGATAACAGCCAATAGCATATGTAGGAAGAGCCTGACCCACTGATTTAATGTAAACCTCTCTGCCGCCATACGAAATCAGATTTTTCGACCAGCCCTAAGCCCTCGAATGCAGTTTATCACGGAGGAAGGAGAAAACTTGGCGTTTATTATGACCAATAATTAAAGGAAGACCCAAATATAAGCCTGGATCATTAACCTCCTCAACTTCTAAAGTCTGCCATGTCTCAATATATAAAGCAGCCGAAGTGTGAGTACTAAATAAAGACTTGATTTATGAAAGTTTTTCTGCTGGCCAGATGCTCGAGTATAACACTCTAAGATCCCACGAATATGAATCGCCTCCTACATTGATGCCTGAAAAAAAGTAGAAGACAAACTTCTGCAAATAATAAGTGCGTAATAGGAGGTCTATTTCGACTTAGTTTGACACCCTTAATTTGTCTCGAATGTAATTTTTACTGCAGCAAAGAAGATAAACCTTGAGTACATACGAGGAACAAAAAAGGAGAGAGAGTAGGTCACACTGTCGTAGACCGCGTGTTGGTTGAAAAAAATCAGTTAACAACCCATTGATACGGATGCTACACGAGACAGTTGTAACACAAGACATAACCAGATCAACCCATGATTGATAGAATCCGAGACGCTCTAACATTTCCCGGAGGAAAGGCCATTCGATGCGGTCATAAGCCTTTTCCATATCTACCTTTAAAGCTACCCCGTGAAGATGTAGAAGATTCGGATTTAAAATGATAGAACACTTCATGAGCAGTAATCATATTGTCCGAACCTTGTCTTCCAGGCACAAAAGCTGCTTGGTTCTCATCGACACAAAATGACAATAGATGCTTCATACGATTCACAATACACTTCGACATAATCTTGTAGATGACTCGACGTAAGACTATCGGCCGAAATTGGGGTAACCGGATTGAATTGGATATCTTTGGCAGTAAAACCAAAACCGTTTGGTTGACAGATGATATGGGTAGTCTACCAGCTAGCAAATCCAAACTCAAAGCTGTGACATCTGCTCCCACCAAAGGCCAGAAATATCGATAAAAGCTTGCAGGCAGGCCGTCCATCCCTGTGCTTTTAATGGGTGAATCTGTTTAAAAGCTGAATAAACCTCCTCATTTGAAAACGGAGCAACAAGAGTGGCATTCATTTCATCCGTGATAACTGGTTGAACGGAACTTATCATGTTATCCATAAAAAATTGGCCATCCGTAGAGAATAATTTAGAATAATAATTGATTGCCTCTACATGGATGTCTTCGAACAGGTCAACCTATTCCCCATCATCATTATAAATTCTACGCACAAAATTCTTACGCCTTCTACGAGATGCACGAGCATGAAAATAAGGTGTATTACGATCACTATTTTGCAACCAATTACTCTGAGATCGTTGATGCCAGTACACTTCCTCAATTGACATAGGATGGTTGATCTCACTTTTTAATTTCGCAATCTCAAGCATTTCTGCAGTTGACAAAGGTCGTGAAAGCAAGTTGTCTATTCTTGCTCTGGCCGAAGCAATTTGTGCCTTATTCACATCACGACGTGCATATATTCCATTGCTTAAGATGTTCTCCAATATACTGGATGCGATCAAGTGTGGATCCTGAAGTTCCACTCCACATGTTGAACACGAAATCGACACCCTTTATCACTTGACCAACATACATCAAATATAAAATAGTCATTACAAACCCTTGGACGGACTGTAGGAGTGGAAGTCGAGCAAGCAATGGAAATGAAACAGTGATCATATATTGAAATAAACTCACTTGAAACACAGCTAGTATGTTGACTTAGCCATGAAGATGAAGCAACAAAATGGTCAAGTCTGGAACAAATGATGGTGGATTGCTCTCGACCTTTATGCCATGTAAACCACCCATGTCTAGACCGAATATCAGAAAGACCATTTCGGTTGAGTGCAGATCGAAATGCTTCCATTAAAATCGCCTCCCAATAGCCATGGTAATGACGATAAATTCCGTAAACGATCAAGCAGAGCCCAAGTGTCAGAATGCCGACGACGATCACTACGCCCATGCAACCCAGTGAATCGAAATTTGTCAGTCATACATTCAACAATTACATCAATATGTAAATTAGAATAAGAAAGTAGATTAACTGCAACAGTGGAATTCCAAAATAACAATAAACATGAACAAGTAGTACTACTGTCAACACAAAAGTAACCCTCCATTCCTAAACAATAATTGAAAAAGTCCAGACGGTAATGTCTTAGATGACTTTCACAAAGGAACAGAAAAGCAGGTCCTTTACGAGCTACTACAAGCTCCAGAGATCGAACTGTATGAGGGTTCCCAAGCCCCCGATGGTTCCAACATAAGATATTCATAATGGTCGGTGGGGCTGAACATCAGCCTCCGCCGAAACAACAGAAGTAGAAGTCACTTCAGATATTGTTAGTATAGAACAAGCATTCTTGACATCATACCAGGTAGGAGTGTCAAGTTGTTCTGGAAGTGGTCTCTTTAATGATCGAGTTGATGATGGAGCAGATTCAACATTGTTAGGGGAACTTGAAGTTGATGCATCTGTATTTAGATCAATTAACGCAGACATACTTGTTAAAGCAGGTACAAGTGAAATAATCCCTGGCCTAGCACGAGTGTTAGTCCCCATAGTCGCTGGAAATGAAACACGTAACTATAAGTAGAGAGAGGGCAGCGAGCAACCAAATGACCCACCATACCACACCGAAAATAGAAATTTGGAAGACGTTCATATTTTACTATATACAAAAGTGGTTTACCATTTGGTCGAGTACCAAGTGACATGCAACGCCGGAGTGGTTGACGACTATCAATAATGACCCAGATGCGAAGATAGGAGCCTAACCGAACAGCCTCAGTTTTGAGGTCCACTGTTAATGGTTCACCAAGTTTTTTTGCGATCAAATCCCCTACATGTGCATTCGTCCATCCCAACGGAAGATCATATACACGAACCCAGATTGGCATACCCCGAGAAGGGTCATAGCGTTGCAAAGCCACCAAATCTCTATTGAATTTCCAGGGAGTGCGAGAGAAAACACAATCCACATCAATATCAGAAGATAACTTGAATAAGAAGGTGTCTTCTCCCAAAGATGAAACCTCAACCAGGCATGTTATTCCCCAGATTACCCGAAACACGCGCATAAAAGCATCTGCATCAATAGGATTAGTGGGCATAACCCGACCAATTAGCCTGTTAACAGTGGCACTAGCTGGTAAATCAGTCGGATCAGTAGGAAGAAGAACCTCCGATGTCTCATCAGACGTAAAGTATAGACCAGCAAACAGTTTCTCAACTTCCTCAGCCATGAGTCTTAGATATGAAGTAACAAAGAACCAAAACGAGGAGAACAACCATGCATAAGATATCCTCAACATAACCGTCAGAAAGTGGAGACTGGAGAGAATGGGGGAAAACGGTTTTAAAAGCCACCTTTTGATATTCATGCATGGAACTTGTGAACCCTACAAACTCGGCAACCGTCTCCAAACATGCAAACCTTGCAAACCAAAGATGGAATCTACTGCGATGACAAATACACCAAAACATTATGGACAAATTAACGATGAGAGAATGATGGTAGCCCCGAACATAGAAAACAGTCATATCAGAAAATATAAAGAAGAAAATCGTCGTTCGAAAAACCAGGTGGACCAAAAGTACCAACACACAAACCATGAGAAGAGAACCCATAAGAAAAACCACACCATAAACCTGTACCAGAATAGTAAAAACTAATCGAGTGACCTTGCCACCCTCCGTCATAAAGAGGGTCATAATTGGTTCTTATTAGATTGTGTAAACAATACTGAAATCTTAAGAAAGCTTCTTGATTCTTTATTGATCAAGAAATGATTTATATACACGTGATAACCAATTACCTAAGCTGGTAAGCTGGTGTAACAGAATGCTAACAAACTAACAGCCCTATATTTCTACACACACATACAGCAGATTGTTTCAGCATTCTAGACTCATTCTAGATTCATTCTAGAACGTTTACTTCAATATTTCCTTTACTTTTTCTCTTCTCGACTTCAGCAAATAAATTCACACCAAGCCTTTGTCTAAACTAAACAAAGCTATCTTTCGTTAGCGCCTTAGTAAGCCCGTCTGCCACTTGATATTCAGAAGGTACAAAATTCACTTGAAGCTTTCCTGCAGCAACTCGTTCCCTCAAGAAGTGTATGTCTAACTCCACGTGCTTTGTTCTAAAGTGGTAGATTGTATTAGCACTCATCGCAATCGCACTAGTGTTGTTATTCCACACTACTGATGCAGCCTGAATTCGAACCTTCATATCACACAACAAAGCTTCAAGCCAAATAATATCAGAGGTGGCATCAGCTAGACTCCTATACTCAGCCTCTGTAGTAGACCTCGAAACTATCTTATGTTTGTTTGAACTCCATTGAACCATGGTACCACCAAGGAAGACACAAGTGCCCGATATGGACCTTCTATCATCAACACTACTTCCCCAATCAACATCAGCAAAGGCCACAAGTTGGAACGGTTCTGTCCTTGGAAAAAAACCAAGCCATAGTCGAGTGTCCCCTTAAGGTATCTCAACACACGTTTGACGGCCACCAGGTGTTGTTCGCATGGTGCGTGCATGAACTGTGCTAGCTTATTCACACAAAAAGCTATGTCTGGCCTTGTATGACAAGCATATAACAAGGACCCAACCAAGTTGTGATATTCCTTTGCATTTTCTAATAAATTGTCTGCACTGTTGCTCGACAATTTAACCGATGCAACCATAGGAGTTGAAGTTGTTGTGGCCTTGCTCATTCCTGACTTATCTAATAATTCCATTATATACTTCTTTTGGATAAGGAAGACTGCACCATCGACGCTCTTAACTTCGATTGCAAGAAAGAAATTAAGCATGCCCAAGTCTTTGAGTGAGAACTTCTCTCCTAGCAACTTCACAACCAGTTCAACGTCCTCATTGTTTTTTCCTGTAACAATGATATCATCAACATAGGATAAGACATACGTGCTAATATTATCGTTATGTTTGATGAACAAGGAGTTATCTGCACGAGAGCTTTGAAACCCCAAATCAACCAGAAAGTTTTTCAACTTGGAGTACCAATTTCTTGGTGCTTGTCTTAACCCGTACAACACTTTCTGTAATTTGCACACCAACTTTGTTAGATCAACAGCCTGTTGTTCAAAGCCTTGAGATTGTTCCATGAACACCTCTTCATGTAATTCACCATTTAAAAAGGCATTATTAACATCTACTTGCCTCAAAATCCAGCCATTGCGAGCAATAATTGTCAACACAACATTTATGGTTGACATTTTTACAACTGGGCTAAATGTTTCTTGAAAATCCTGGCCAGGCACCTGTGAGAATCTATTGGCCACGAGTCTGGCTTTATATTTTTGTACTGAACCATCAGCGTTGTGCTTGACTCGAAACAACCACCTGCAGCCTACAACGGACTTTCATTCTGGAAGAGGGACAAGCGATCATGTATCGTTCTTTTTAAGTGCTTCATATTCAGCAAGAACAACAGCCTTCCACAACGGATTCTTGAAGGCTTCATGAACATTTTGAGGTTCAACTCATCTAGGTTGTTGCTATTCTAACAAACAGATCCACCACTGAGAGTTGAGGATGTACACTCCATTTTTACTGCATGTTATCATGTGGTGACCTGTTACTGGTGGTGGCATATCATGCTGATCGCTATCGCTTGGATCACTGCTGCTCGACCCTTCATCAGCCATATTCGATGATGAAGCACATGCCTCCCTTGAATTTTGTTGTATAGCCACATTCTCATCTTGTTGCTCGACCTCATTTGCTACATCATTTCCTGAGACCACAGGTTACCCAGCATCTCCAAGTAGGCTCATACTGTTAAAGGAATTGGACCATAATTCATTAGTACTGACCACAGGGTTAACATCGCGTGTTCTCTTCCCATGCAAGCACGTTGAGTATCACCTACTATAGGGAGTTTTGTACCACTCCTACGCAATGCACATTTGCATCTAGCCTTGGTGTCTGTCACTGCAAAAGGAAAAAAACTCTTCATCAAAAATAACATGGCGTGAAACAAACACTCGACCATCCGAGTCCATACAATGATAGCCTTTGTGTTGAGTGCTATATCTTAAGAACACACACTGAGAGGATCGATAGCTGAGTTTGTGAGCATTATACGGTCGTAAATGAGGAAAGCAACGACACCCAAAGACTCTGAGATAGCTATAATCTGGTTTCTTTGAATACAACACCTCGTATGGGGATTTGTCTTGAAGAACACTTGTAGGCAGCCGATTGATAAGATGCACAACAACACATACAATATTTGACCAGAACTTAAACGGTAATGATGCTTGAGCCATGAGAACCAAGGCTGACTCGATTATGTGTCGATGTTTTCGTTCGACTATACCGTTTTGTTCGGACGTATGTGGGCATGCTAGGCGATGCACTATGCCTAACGTCTTGAACCAAGTCGAGACTGATCGCCTCCCCAATCGCTTTGGACTTCTTTTACTGTGGTATTAAACTAAGTTTGTATCAGGCTGAAGAACAATTGGAAGGTTGGCAGAACTTGGTCCTTGGTTTTGAGTAGATAAACCCAACTATGCCTCGTGTAAGCATCAACGAAGGAGACATAATACCTATATCCATTGGAGGCTATGTGTGTTGGACCCCATACATCACTGAAAATTAAGTGAAATGGCATTGCATACACCATTTGAGATTGATTAAACGGAAGTTTATGACTCTTACCCAACCGACATGCCACACAAAATGAATTGACAACCATATTATTTCTAGAATGAAGCATTACACCAATTTGTTTACAAGCTTGCACAAGAACAAGAGCAGGGTGCCCAAGCCTCTAGTGCCATAGACTATATTTTTATTACTACTATTGGAATCATCTACCATTGTGACTTGACAAGCTTCCAAGCATTCTGTATTTGTTACGAACTGATAGAGGCATGCACGTTCTTGTCCCTCTAGCAACACTGTTTTGGTCACCTCATCC